ATTAATCATTTCTCCTTATATTCTAATGAATTCTCTAGTTTGAATCTTATAAAACTTTAAAATTTTCAAGGATTATAATAATATTTAAATTAAATTCAAATTAACTTATTATTTGACACTATTTAAAATTAAAACAATGTTTAACAAATTTTTTTCTACTGTATTACTTTCAATTGTTTAGCTGAAGCTTTTAATTTAAATCTGCTTCACTGTAGTATTGTATTGTATCAATCAATATTAAAACGTGAATAAAAATTTTAATGTTAAAATCATGACAATAATGCAAAATATTATTGTGTTTTAATTCTCTAAAGATAATGAAATAAAAAGAAAATTAATTACATCATATACAATTGACATGTAGTTTATTATATAGGGATTTTCCAATGTAAAACTGATTATTCTTTATCAATGACTTGCAAAATTCTTATTTTTAAAGTCATTCTATAAAGTTTATTTAAAATTGCACAATGTTTTATCAATGTAATATTATTAATAATTTTAAGATGATGTAGGGCATTTTTGCAATATTCATTTTTAAAACTTCTATAAATAAAACAAATATATATGTATTACGATATATAAAGAAATTTGTTAGTTTGTTCTTTATAAATTTCGACATGGTTTGAGCAAATACAATAGAACTTTTCAAGGAACATTCTCTCAACCGGGAGGTCAACGACTACCTTCAGTTGAGTTAAGTTCAACCCCCCTCGCAATAAGCCTCTTTTTCGGTCTAAATACCACCGGGATGGTGGTATTCGAATAGGAAAATTATTTAATACAAAATTAGCAGCGAGTAAAAATATGTTTTAGAAGTTTTTGAGTGTGCCGAGTTTAGGTCCATTTTTCGCGAAATTTGATCAGTTGGCCGATTACTATTTGATATTTGACCGTGAATAGTATTTAGAGTTAATATTAGAAAAAATTTGGATGTCTCGAATTATCTTCCTTTGCAGACGGAAGTCAACGACTATTTTATGTTGAAAAACATCAATTTCTGTCTACCTGACTAATGAAAGTGCGTTATTCTATATATCGGAGTATCGCATTCTTAGCAGGTATTGTACTCTGGGATTTTACTGGGTGCTGTTGTATCAACAATACAATAACAAAAATTTCCCGGCGACGTTGGGTAACTATTCTATATATATACACGTATATACAGTAGACGAGCGGATGGCCGAGCGGTCAAGGTGGTAGCCTACCGATCTGGGATCGAAACCGGATGGGTCAAGAAAAACCCAGAAATTTTTCGGGGATTGGTCCGTTCGGATATATCGGGCCCCATCCCTCACTACCCAATCGCCCCATTGTGGGCCTGGCCGAACCCATAATGAGCCTGCTATGTTGGCACTAAGAGGCAGTGGCGTAGCATGGGTGTCAGCCGCCCGGGGCAAAGGAAAATTTTGCCGCCCCCTTATTTAGGTATCTCAATTTAAAAAACTAAAATTCAGTTTCGTCACAGAATAAGTAATGAAAAATTCCGTGCTAGTGTTGCCACCTTTTTAAAATCGCTGACCCGGACGGCAGGTGAGGTTTGTTCGAACAGAAGTTCCTGACGCATGCGTATGTCATTTTGCAATGCGAAGAATAATGTGCAGTGCATGCCGGTTCAGTTAGCGTTTAGGGAGAATTGGTTAGGAGTAACGTAAGTAACCTAGATGACTTAGCTGTATTGGACATTGGAGGAGTATATGAATACGAATGATTCGTACAAGCAAAAGAAGAAAAAAAAAGGTCAACAGGTTGTGCAAATCCCGGACTGTCCGAATGATGACACTTTTCGTGCTCATTTCAATCGGTCCGAATAGTAGGTGCGACGAAAATATGTGATGAAATGGTTCAAGTTTTTACAAAATATTATTATGAAATTTCCATTTATTGTGAAATTTTGCCACCCCCTAAGAAGTGCCGCCCGGGGCGGGTCTCCCCTGCTGCCCCCACTACGGTACGCCACTGCTAAGAGGGCATCTTATAGATGCCCTCTTAGTGCCCACACGGCGGAAAGAGTATTAAAAAAAAAGAATATACAGTAAGACCCCGCTTAACGCGGAGGATACGTTCCTAGACGACAAAGCACTAAACGAAACAGCGTTAATTAAACGAGGTCATTTTAACATAGAGTAATAAGGAAAAAGGAACACGCGATCAAAAAATAAACAGATTTTACGTTAATTTTAAGTTATTTTTATATTAATTTGCATAATAATATATGCTAAATAACATAAACATATGCACACAGAAATGTAAAGTTCATTTTTTCTGACGAAGATCCTAACTTTTCTGAAATTTTTGTTTTTTGCGATAAAGTCATGTAGTTTCATTTGTCGTTTTTTTCTTTCCTTGAGCAAATTTCGGTAGCAGAAGATGGCATCCCAAAACGCCTCGTCTTGCTTTTGCCTCCTTTGAAAATCGGGATCATTCGCTACAATTTGATCAACGATTTCGGTTATCGTTACCAAACTTTTACTAAGGAAATCTGTAGAGAAATTCCTTGTGTTCTTCGTTTTCAGAATCACTATTTTCCGGTTCTATACGAATTATTTGTTCTGCCAGTTCTTGAAGATACTCTTGATTGGTAAGGCACTCGCCAGAAATCTGCAGTAATTCTTCAATATCCCGCTCGTCTGTATCTCCTTGTCCTGCCATATTGATTAGGTTTATAATTTGGTCGACGATAGGCTTTTCTAGTTGAGAATTCTTGGATACCTCTGGCCATACCTTCTTCTACACTCCGTTCATGCATTTATCAGTTAATTCTTGCCAAGCGAAGTCGACATTTCTTATAGCATCCATGATATTATATTTTTTCCAAAATTGCACAAAACAAACGTAGATTTAACAGAAGTACAGCGCAACGATGAATTTCTAACTTTTGCTGATTGGTTTCTATTCATAAATAATCGTATTATATACGAATCAATGAAATGCCGCGATAATTTGAATTGGCATAAATTTTGAGCTTTTTTTAGGCTACGAGCATACCGTGTTATATCGAATCAGCGTTAATCGAGGCTGCGTTAAGCGGGATCTTACTGTATACAGGTTACCCCCGTATAACACGGCACTTCTATAGCACGGATTCGCTCTAACACGGTTCGAGAATTGGTACCATCCCCCGTATAACACGGTACTTTTATAGCACGGATTCACTCTGATACGGTTCGAGAATTGGGTAAAACCCTCGTACAACAGGAAATGTAATAAATTTTTACATACTTAAGTAATAATAGTTCACGAAAATTATTATTTTCGTGAACTATTAGTACTTAAGTATGTAAATTTTCTCTTCTCGCCTTCTGTCGATACACGTGGTCCTTCTCGAAACTTGTTTCAATGTTGCCAGATCGCGACGCTTCTGCTTCTGATGTTGCCGAATGTTTTTCCCTTATTCCATACTTGCTTTATTCTTCATAAGTGCTTAGCACCATATAAGGAAATTTATAAAGACCTTTTAACTAGAAGCAAGCAATCTAAAATTACATACATTTTGCAAAAGGTAAAGCATGGATCTGAAGATAATGCAGAAAAATGCTCAGAGGATAAGGATAACTTGCCAAAAAGAAAACGCTCTCGGTTAATTAATAGTGTTTTTAGTGATGACGAAGAAAACATTGTTTAATTTATATTAATATGTATCACTTAAAAAAATTTTAATGAAGATATTTATCTTAATTATGAAAATATACTAGCATGTTTTTTAATTTTTGGAAGCTAACCCTCCTTTTCGTATTAGTTATTTGTTTCGTATAACACGGATTCGCATAACACGGCAATTTTTTGGAACGTAACTACCGTGTTATACGGGGGTTACCTGTATTATTATTTTGATTATTACTTCTTTCCGTTCTATTTTGTATCTCTAAATTTTGTGTTACCATTTTAACATAACAATTTTTGGGCTTATCATACGTGGTTACACCTTTTATTTTATTACTGATTTAACATTTTTTTATAAATGTTTCAGCAAATTAAACTTTTTTTTCATTAATTAATACTATAACCATTTTCCATTTTTTTTCAAATAATTTCAAGAAATATATTTTCACTGATAGACAATTTTTGTAATAAAAAGAAAATTATGAAACATTTTCTGAAAATAATGTTAAATTAGTAATAAAATAAACAGTATAACCACTCATGATAAGCCAAAAAAATTTTATGTTAAAATGGTAACACAATTTAGAGATATAAATTAATTTGGAAACTTTTATCTTTGATAATATAAAATGGAAAATTTTCAAATGAAATAACAAAATCGTTTTTAAAATTTAGGGAGCTATAAAATTACATTTCGTTTATGAATTTTTGACATTTAAAGAAACAAAATATTTAAAAATAAAAGTAAATTCTAAAATATCTTTGAACTTTTAGTCTTTTCTCTTTAAATCAAGTAATCCTAAAGCGAAAATATAGGATTACTTTCGTACTTTTAATGAGAAAGATAACGAAAAGTATATATCATTAATGCATTTATCGAAGTGATAAATGTTTATCAAATTATTTTAATTAAGAAAAAATTACTTTTCTGTAAAATTAGACGGAAAATTTGTTAAAAGATAAAATTAATGAGGTCATTTTATGTAAAAAAAAAATCAAATAAACCCTAAAATATGTCAAATTTTTTTAGAATATTTTATGTTCAACTTCTGAAATTTTTATTCAAATATATTGAACTTTTAATAATGAAATGTTCCTCTATATTTGTTTTTTAAATTAATAATTTGTTTTATTAAAACTTTTTTTAAAATGTAATTTTAATCTGTACTGCAATTTAAAATCTCAAAAATTATTTAATTCTATCAAATAAAACATTATAAAATTTTAAAAATAGAAATATCTAATAAATGTTACTTTATTATTTATTTGTTATTTATTACTTTTAATTCATTTACGCATTTTAAAATTCATTTCCGTATTAAAAAAATTATAGAAATGTTACGTCATACAGTATATCCTTCGACGTCACACAGCAGATAACCAATTATAAAGTGTTTCGACCGGCTCAATTCGTCCTTTATCGAAGGTCTTCGTTAAAGTGAATACATAGAAAAGAATGGCTTCCAGGTTTGCTAACGTGCAAAGTGCTCCTCCTGTCGAAATATTTGCTTTGAACAGAGCTTATAAAGAAGACAAAGATCCAAATAAAGTAGATCTAGGAATTGGCGGTAAGTTACACTTCTAACAATACTTAATAATGCATGTTTAGTGTATATTTAAACTTACCATCACATTTAAAGTGCTTAAAAGTATTGATTTATTTGAATATTTGAGAAATTTATTTAAAGAAGTTACTACAGGCTTGTTCATTGATTTAATCTTTATATTTAATTTCATAATGTTAATTGTTTATTTACAGAAAAAAGTAAATGAAATACACTTATGTATACAGTATATGTGTGCAGAAATGTATTCAACTTTTTAATTACATAATTTAAAGGGATTTAATATTGATTTTTTTTTTAATTTTATAAACTTACTGCGGCTTAAATATTGTTTTATTTTGCAGAAAATTTACAAAAATCCTTATGTTTTTGAATTTTTGTGTCTTACAAGTATCTGTATAATAGTAATATATTCCATATATGAATTTTAATTGAAATTTGTTTGTAAAATATTTTAAATATTTATTAAACTGATATTTGTAAAAATTAATTAAAATATCTAATTTTTGTATAATGATACTGAAAAGATTTGATTATTTAATGGCACTTTTAATATAAAATAAGCAAGCTTCTGAAAACATAATTTTTCTTAAAATAATATACACTTATTCAAAGAACTACTCATTTAGGATTTTGAAATTAATTTTTGCTTTGATTGAGGAAATAGTTCAAAGATTGAACAGTGTTTTTTTTTTTTTTTTTATTAAAGGAATGATCGGTAATTTTCATTTAAATTATGCAACATTTATCTGTAGAGAAAAATCTACAAATTAATTATATTCATGATTCATCAAGAAACTTTATCATGATAGCTTGCAATACATGAACAAGTGTGATCTTTATTATTAATGCACTAAAAATTACAGTACCATAATTTTTTATAGAATTCTAATTTATAATCAAAAATCATTTTGTATTATTCATTTTGTAAGTAAATCTATTTTATCTGCAATACCACAATCGTACGAAATGTATCTTAAATTTGATATAGATCCAGTTTATTATAACAAATGTGGAAATCAACAGGTTTTTCTGACCTGGCCAGTCAACAAAGCTAGATATCCTGAATATATATAGATAATTTTTAACACATACTTACAAAACCAATTAACCATATATGTCATAGATCAAAACTGTACAAATCAAAGTTAACAATCAATTGGAAATAAATTAATTCATGAAAATTAAGAATTTCTGTGAAAATAATTTTTGTACTTTGTTTGTTTGAGGGAATAAGAACATGGGGGAATGAAGAAATCAAATTTAAAAAAAGTTTATTGATGAATTATTTTGTCTAAAATCTTTAATTAATGCACATAAAAATGAATATAGTCTTGTGTTATTTTTCATGATCTAACTTCTAATCAATCTTCAAACTCTCAATAAAGTAGTCCAAAAAGAAAGAATTTTTTTTTGTTTTTTTTTTTTTTTTTAAATTAAGCAAAATATTAACAACTATATAGGCAATGCTTAGTAAACTTTTTTCTTTCATAGTTTTCTGTAAAAACTTAAAACAGAAATGTTTACAAAAATTACACTGTGAAAATAAACTATCCAAATAAGAGCACTGTACCAGGAAAACTGTTGTGTGTTTTACCTACCAACTAATGGTAATGAGTGGGGAAAAGCAGTTGATTCAGTGTTATCAGCTCAGCTCTATTGAGCTAGAAACATTGAATCACCTTCAAAACAGATCCACATTAACCAAAACGTGCACTGATAAAAGCGACATATATCAAGGGTTATCTATATTGTTGAAAAAAATCTTGATAACATATAAGACAACATCATGTAAATGTTTTTTTATTATTAGATTGAATTGATAAATAGTAATCTTTGTAAATTCATATTTTTTAATAAAAATTGATATGTTTAGAATGAAAAATTTAATTAACAAAAAAAAAAGTGATAACTGTTACTTGTATATTTGTTACAAACAAATGTATGTTCATATTATATTTGATAATTGATACATTTTAATATAATCCTGTTATTTTAAATTATGGATTTTATTGTTATTAATAAAATTCAGTATAAAAAAAAATATTTTTATCACAATTGATTCTAACATCAATAATTTTTAAATGCCAAATGAACCACTGAATTCTTTATCAGACTGTTATTGATACATTAGGCAAAATTACTTAATAATTAATTAGCCTTGATTTAGCCAATTAAGCCATCACCTTGCAATTAAATTCAACAATTTCTAAATAAATAAATTTTATTTATATTATTCTGGAAGAAAAGATTGACCTGGAGTGGGACTCAAACCCACAATTTCTGCTTACCATGTAGATGCATTATCAATTATGTTACATGGATCTTAATTTAATGTTTACTTCTGTTAACATACTTGAGAAAATTATTAATATAATGGGTATAATATATAATTTAATTATAATTCTCCATTATATTAATAATTTTCTCAATACGCATTTGTATAAAAAACTTAGTATTTAACTATTGCATTTTTTTTTTTAGGAGATATATTATGGTAAAATTTTGAGAATTTGGAATAATATATAGTATAGTATATAGTAATAAAATTAAAATAATTTTTTTCTATTTCAAAATATTTTGATCATTTCTACATCTCCTTTTTAGAACATGTAATAAGCAGAGAAATATATAGACTACCAGGTTTATGAAACTTTTTTTATTACTGTATAAAATTTTCAAATTGAAAATCTCTAGAATTAAGTTAAATCTCTAGTTGATGTATAATTAATACAGTGATATATTTGAGTCTAGAAATGAATTAGACATATAAAGCAGTACTTTTTAATTAGTATTGTCCTAAAGGACTTTCCAACATTTTAAAGTTACGTTTTAGAAAGTAGAAGTTATGTAAAATTTTTAGATAAAACAAATCCAAAAATATACATTTACAGTATTCAAATATGCCAACTTGAATCATAAAAATGAACTGATTACATACATAAAATTTCACAAAAAATATAGTTCTGAATTAGTATTGTCCTGATGACGTGTACTCTTAAGCATGTATTAAAATCAGCTATTTGAAGTTTTAAAATAAAAATTTGTTAATTTTTTTTTTCTGAATAAATTTATATACAATGCTGGGTTTTATAATTTTTATTCTAAAAATATTTATAACTTGGTAAAAAATTTTGAAACAAAAAAAAATATACAGTAAATGAAATTTTTCTTTTTTCAATGTAAAAAAGTTGATCATGTTTAATTTTAACTTATCTTTCCTTAAATAAGAACTTTTTTGTGGTTGACCACACCTATAACCTATATTTATGGAACTCAAAATCATGTATAAACAGCGTTTTTTTGTGGCATTCATGCCATAAAGCTGTGTCACAAAAATTTAATGGCATGGCAATGATAGGTATCATTTTACTTGCCCTTCCATAAAATTTTTGTGGCACAGCTTTATAAAACTGGTGTTTATACATAATTTTGAGTTCCATAAGTATAGTGTTTATAGGTATAGTGTAACCACAAAATACCGTATAACAATTTGTTTATAATTAGCGATTATGACATTTTATGGAAATTGGCTCACTCTGCTCTTGTGCCAAACTTCCATGCCATAATTGCCTATATTATAAACTAATTGCATAATATACTATTTTTTACAATTTAAATTCAAATAATTAATCTAAAATATATTGATTTTTGAAGATAATTATAAGATAAAAAATGTTATTGATTTCAGATATTTTATTAGTACAATTGATCTAATCATATTATTTATCAAATTAATCATATCAAAAATATTATGTTATGAATTCATAATTTTTCAGTTATAATTATCAAATGATTTTATTTCTTTCAACCTTGAAAGATAAAAAATTTTATTTACTAGACAATTTATCATTATTAATTAATAAAAGATAGTTTTATGAAATTTTATCATATTTTTATTCTCATTTTCAAAATAAGTCAGAATTAATTTTATTGAATAACTTAGAACCAAAGAGAAATTTCTGATACATTTATAAATCAAAGATTATTTAATTTGTTAAATACTTTTGTAAATCAAAATTTGCATTTTTTGTAACTGCATAAATAAATTCAACATTTTACAATGTTTTATAAATATTTTTTCATCTTTGATGTTTATATCAGAAATACACAAAATATAAGCAGGGACTATTTTGAAAGTATTTGGAATATATTTTAAATTCAACATCAATCCAATGAAGTAGTAAAGTCATGAAAGTTTTATTTTAGATTACTACTATAGTAAGCATTTTTTTTTTTTTTTTTTGTTTTACAGCTTACAGAACTAATGAAGGAAAACCATGGGTTTTGCCTGTTGTGAGGAAAGTAGAGAAAGCTATGGCTGAAGATGAAACTCTAAATCATGAATATCTTAGCCAGTTAGGAATGGAAGAATTCAGTAAACTTGCTACTAGAATGCTGTTGGGAGAAGATAGCGTAGCCTTGAAGGAAAATCGTGTAAGAAAAATATTTTAGAAAAGTAGAATGAATCAATCATATATTTATTGATGCTATGTATGTAATATATACAGGATTGTCAAGAGCTTATAAAAAGGTTCATTCTGCCTTAGGTCCTAATGAACCCTTTTTCCCATAGCATGCTTTTTTGTTTTTTATAACAAAAGGTGGAGTACATAGAATGTTCATTCATTAATAAAAAACATTTTTAAAGATTATTTTTTGTTAGTAAAAAATAACATTGATTCTTTTTAGGGATACATATCACTTTGAATCTAACTTTTCTCCAGACCCAAGGAAAAATTCCCAACCTCCCCTTTGAATAGCTCTTTCACAAAACTAATAATTTTTTTTTATAAAATTGTAAATACAAAATGGAATAAAATGATTTCAAATTAATTACAATAAATTAAATTAAAAACTGTTCTAATTTTTTTTTATTCATAGTACTTTTATTCTTGATATAGAATTTATCTATTCCAAACAATTAGTTTTTATTTTTATAAAAACCAATTTTTTGATAATTTTTTTTATAATTAACTAATCTCTTATATACTGTACATGTAGTTATCCCAAATGCTAGTGAACAAAATAATAATAAATATTAGTTATTACGATTATTATTATTACTATTATTATTAAATCATACCAGTTTTTATTATAACTAAGCTATTTTAAAATTAATGTAATAAAGTTTATTTGTAATACCAATTTCTTTAACCATTAATAATCATATTACCATTTTATTGCATATATTGTCATTTTAATTGATAAGGATACAAACAGAAATTGAAATTATTTTGTCTACTTGGACCTTGTTTATTAATACAGTAAGACTTATTATACTGGTGTAGTTTCCAATTAGCAAGTAGAGGAGATCTTACAGGTTAAAATATACAAGTGAAAATAATGATACTTTATTTTGACTTTTTTACTAAGATCTCCTCTATTTGCTAATCAGAAACTATACCAGTATAATAAGTCCCATTAATAAACAACTTCATATTGATGTTGGGGTTGGAGGCGTAGATGGCCAAAACAGTGTTGGCTATCTATGCCTCTGACTCCAACATTGATGTGGAATTCTGCAAAGCATGCCTCTTACATAACTCTTTCAGACAACCCTTTCTCATTAGTAAACAATGTTCAAGTTGACAAGGATACTCTTATCAATTTCTGTTTGTAAGGACATAGAGATAAAAAGAATGGATAAAATAATTTATTCAAAGAGATATTAAATCAAAATATGTTCATCTATTCTTTTTAATCTTAATAAATGTTCAACCACAAGATAGTTAGCTTGTAAATTGTTTTCTGGATATAAACAAATATCATTTTTGAATTTCATTTTACATATTATATAATTAAACTTATGTATGTATTTAAATTTGTTTTTATATATATTTTTAAATATAACTTTTAGTTTGAAAATATTTTTGATAAATTAGTTTTAATAAAGAAAATTATTTTTGTTTCTTTTTTACTTTTTCTGCTCTGTGGACACTGAGGACGGTAAAAAAAAGGTCCATAGTTATGGGTTTGCATCTTACCAATCACTGTTTAGTGACTTTTTTATACCAGTTACTTACATTAAGTCACTAATCTGCAAGAAAATTTTGGTGGGATTACAAAAAAAATACAAAATACTCAGTTGCTTTACCTCACTCATTGGGGGTTTTTTTATTTGAATCTAAAACCAAACATGAAATAACTTATCACTAAGTGTCAATAACTACAGTCGACCCCCCTATAACACAGTTGATTATTCTGTTTTATATGAATTCCATGGGTCACTTAGATTTTACAAATACTTGTACGAGTCACTTAGATTTTACAAATACATGAGCCGTTCACAGCCCAGCACACGTATTTGTAAAATCTAAGTGACTCGTACAACATGGAATTCATATAAAACGGAATAAGCAACAGTGTTATAGGGGGGTCGACTGTAATTAACAATAAATAATGTGAGTTCAATTGTCTTCATAAGTAAACATCACACTTATTTTTTATAATTAAATGAGTGAATTTCACATTAATAAAGTAAAATAAAGTAAATGGAATTTTTGTCATCATTATTCTAATAGATGTTTGTGTCATTTAGAAAAATTTATGATACAGGATTCAAAATTATTAGTTTAGTGGTCCTTGAGGTCAGAAAGGTTGGCAAATGTTGACTTAAAATCATCCACTAGTGGCTAAGTGTGTGGTATTTTTTTTTCTATTATATTTTGTATGTGTTTTTTTAATGTTTAAATCTTATTGTGAAATATGACTAAATTATTGGATGATTTTAAAGTATATGATGAATGCTAAATATTTATTTAAATTAAGAAGTTAATTTTGAATTTAACTAAGCAATGTAGAAAATTCCTGTTGAGAATATAAATCAGGAGTAGGATTCTAACCTGCAATTACCAATGCAACCTTTGATCTGATCATCTTTGTCAGAAATATATTACTTTGACTTGTCATATGGCTTTATTGGTCATTTAAGACAGAAATTTAAACTACTGCATAAGATTCTAGAAAATAGAATCAAATTTTCTAATTGAATTCAATATTAATAATTACAAATTCTTGTTTACATAAGATAGTGGCTTTATTACTTCAGACCAATCTAAAATTTTAATTCAGATTTTATTAAATTAAAACAGAATTAAGGAGTTTGTCTCATTTGTCCCTTTCATTCTCCAAACTGAAGATTACAATATATTATTCAATCAGTTAGTGGGCTAATTTTATGTAGAACACTTTATTATAATTTATAATGGTATTTCTCTATGAATTAAAAATTTTTATAATTTATTTTATATTTATTTTCAGGCATTTGGTGTACAGACACTTAGTGGAACTGGAGCCTTGCGATTGGGTGCAGATACTTTGGCTAAGCATGTCAACTATACTACTTTTTACATGTCAGCTCCAACATGGCGTAAATATTTTATATAATATATTTTTGGCTCTAGCTTCTATTTAGAAAAACTAACTAATATTTAAAATAATCAAACCCCTTAGTATTTCCAGCAACGAAGTATTTAATAAAATAATAATAAAATAATAGTATGTTTGACACACATAGAGAATTAAATTACATATGTACAATAGCTGCACAACAGGGATATCGTATAAGTGAAATTAATGCTCTTATTGCTAAATTTTGTAATCAAACAAATAAGCAACCTACAACTAAGAACCAAGGACAAAGAGTAGTTCTCACCTATATACCTTTCCTGCAATCGATGATTGATTAAAAAATTATTTCATAAGAATAATTTGTGTTATTTATCCTACGATTTATAGAATTTTACGAAATGATAAGAAGAAAGGAAACCTTAACAATAGTACAGGAGTTTATTCTATTCCTTTAAGTGACTGCCATTTTAATTCAGATCTTGTTTACGTTGGTGCCACTATGAGACTTTTAAAACAGAGGCTTAAAGAACATAAGTATTCATTACGTGCCAGATGATTTCTTCGACATGCCACTTNGCATGGCTAAAATCTGTACATGGCACGTCCTACCTTGTCCATAAAGTCCACATCTTTTGTTCTGCTGGTAAAAATTGAGAAATGACCCAGGCAAATAACACTGGACAACAATGATTTTTTTTCGAGCTCAAAATTAGCATATTCTTATATATTTTCATCTGCTGAATTCAAAAATCACTATAAAAATGACCAATTAGCTCTTGCTTTTGGAGCAGCGGTTCCCAACCAGTGCTCCGCGGACAACCAGTGGTCTGCAAGAGCTAAAATATGGTCTGCAAAAGATTTAAAACTTAGATTTATTTTAAATTATAATTTAAAATGATTGACATAATCTAAATAATACAAAATATGAGAGAGGTTTTTATAGTAAAATTTGTAAAAAAATATTTCATTATAAAAAATATATGCATCTTCAATTATTTAAAATTTTTGTTGGCATTTTTTCTGTAAAACTCCTCAGATCAGCATATAATAAAACTACACTCTATTATAGAATATATATTTATGCAAACATGACAGCCCTCCTTGACTCAATTATGCTGAGCACAAGTGGAAAATATGTGGCAATCTAAAAGTCATCATTGTACTCTTAGGAATGCAACTGGGGTACACTAAATATTGTTGCTTTTTATGTATGTGGGACAGTAGGGATAGGAAATCACATTACATTCAAGCGGACGGGCCTGCAAGAAATCTTGACTCTACCAAGAAAAATATCATTGCCAAGCCTCTTGTGGACCCAAAAGATGTTCTTCTTCCCCTCTTCATATCAAGCTGGGTTTAATGAAAACTTGTCAAAGGTATGAACCAGAAAGGACAAGCATTTAGGTACTTAAGAGACAAAAATTCCTAGATTGAGTGATGCAAAGGTTAAGGAAGTTATTTTTGTTGGGCCACAAATTCGAAAACTTGTAAAGGATCCCATATTTGACCAAGTTTTGGAGGGAAGAGAAAAGGAAGCTTGGGAAGCCTTAAAGGGAGTTATTCGTGGATTCTTAGGTAACAAAAGAGACAATAACTTCACTCGGTGACAATACTTCTGGAAAAATATCAACTCGGATGTAGCATGTCCCGCAAAATCCATTTTCTCCATTCCCACCTAGACTTTTCCCTCCTAGTTGTGGAGCTGTCAGCGATGAACATAGGGAAAGATTCTACCAGGATATTTCTGTATTGGAACAAAGATATCAGGGCCATTGGAATGAAGCAATGCATGTGGATTAGTGCTGGTCTGTGTATAGGGATGCACCATAACTCACAAGAGGCAAGCCAAAAGAAAATGATCTCATGAAGTCACCACATGATTTTCTTCACCAAACCACCTACCAGGTATTCTATTAATTTAGAACTCTTAGAATGTTACTGTAATTTTAAAAAAATTAAAAGCACTTTCAATGTTGTTAGCATATGTAATTAAAATGTATCGTTTTTCTCTTAAGCTGTTAAAATCACCTATTGTATACAACAGAAACTAGAGCTAATAAAAATTTTTCTTTGTCATATTCAATTTTCTCACCCCAAAATTAGTAAGATTTCACTCATGAAATAAAGGAAACATTCAAAAACATTTTTTTTTGTTGTCCAGTGTAATTTGGATCGGCTACGCCAACGGTGGGCAACCCCCGGCCCGCGGGCCAGCTACGGCCCGCGAAGAGTTTCTATCCGTCCCGTGAGATGTTTAGAAGAAATTATAAATAAATATTTTTCGATGTAATTCGTCTAGTTTAAATTGAATATTATTTTCTGAAGTGTTGCGGCAGCAATGACAGGAAAAAATAAGGGAGTCATTTCCTTATTCAAACAAAAAATGGGAGAACAGAATTTTTCTAAATTATTTATATCTCATCGCATCATCCATCAAGAAAATCTGTGTGCAAAAGCTATGCAATTAGTAATGTAATGTCTGTCGTATCCAACTACATAGTGCTTTTTATTGTGTGTTAATTATTTTATTGTGTTTAAATTCACTTAGATTTTACAAATAAGTGAGCCGTTCACAGCCCGGCATACGCATTTGTAAAATCTAAGTGACTCATACAACATGGAATTCATATAAAATGGAATAATCAACACTGTTCTAGGGAGGGTCGACTGTAGTAATTAATTTATTTTTATTTATTTATTTCATATTTGCAGACTAAAAATTTACAGGTCACAAGGTGTCAATTAACTACTATGGCCCGCGGAAAAAACGTAAAATTTATTCTGGCCCATGTTATAAAAAAGGTTGCCCACCCTTGGGCTATGCAATATTTACAATAATGTCAAGATATTATATAAATCCAAGATCGGCATGGTTGTCGAATCAAAAGGTTAACTAAACGAAGTAAAAAGATGTCTCTCCTTATTAGAGTTTAGGAGCAAAGTGAGGTCAAAGGGCAAAGGTCACGCAGTGGCGCCCTCTGCCCTGTACGTCAAATTTTTATCAAGCCCACGATTTTACCATACTAAATAATGTTAAAAAAAACCGACTTGTAACAACATAAAACTGTTTTAACATCATATTTGAAGCACTCCCAAATTTACAAAATTAGATTACAAATTTTATTTAACATAGGACCGAACACACAGTTTCTTCTAAGGTCAGAGTTCAATTCTTAGAATGACTGTGGGTGGACCCTTATCTGACTTCGGTGGGGTGAAGTGTGTATTTTACCTGTTTGTAGAAGAGGGTCACCATTTTGTATTTTATTTTGACTCGGTTCTCGGTCCCGTGACTACCTAAGAGTCTGGATTTTTTTTATGCTCAAATGATTTGGGCACCTAATACTCTGTTCCAAATATCAACTCTCAACATGCACTTCTTCATACCTCTAAGCTGGTAATATTGACCAGCAGTGTGATTTTATAAACAAGACAGTCTTGTCAATAAATGAACTATATCACAGATAATATTTTTAATAAAATGCTTATAAATATAGTAGAATCTGGTTTTAATGGATCACTCAAGCTACCAAAAATTATCCATTGTTTCAAGAATCTGTTATATTGTGAACAATTGATTTCCCACTTACCCAGGAAAATATCAGTTATTTAAAGAAATTTCTGTTTTAATCTTCTACATATAAGAAATAACTGTAATTGAAATTAAATAATCTCTTGAGATCTATATTCTTTATTCTATAGAAATATGTATATTACAAGATTGTGCATTATGCCATGCATAATGATAAAGCTGATGGAAACTTTGCCACTTTTTATACTTACAGTATATAAAATACAATACATATGCTTATTAGCACTTGAAATGAGATTTTTAGTAAATCATAAAGTTATCTTTGTTTGTTTTGATGCCACTTTCTGCCCTTTGAGTACAACAACCACTCGATATTAGTAATATCGAGTGGTTGTTGTACATTAGCAAAATCAAAAAGTCTCTTCTTTACGCTAAAACTCATCAGGAAAGCCTTTTAACTTGAAAAGACTTGATGTCCTTGCTAAATTTAGGCATTACACCTGGAACAGAAGTAGTTACTAATCAATGCTTCATGTGAATGAGCTGATGTGTAGCTGCACCGTTAGACAATAGTTATGGTTCACATTTTCTATGTATTTTGTTCTGCATGCAATGCATTTTTTTTATACCACATCCAGAAATTTTAAATATTAATTATGTTTACAGTAGAGCATCGATTATCCGACTCAATTGGGAACTCAGGTTGAAAGAATGAAAAAAATACATTATTAGTATAGTATATTAGTATATCCCATGTAATTAGTATATTAGTAATATTGCTCTTAACCTACTTCGCGTTGAATTTTCATCGATGTTAAGCATAACAACAAAATTTTTTAAAAAATAATAGTCGTCACTATTGTATTGTTAAAAATTATTTTTAATTTATTTTNTATATTAGTATATCCCATGTAATTAGTATATTAGTAATATTGCTCTTAACCTACTTCGCGTTGAATTTTCATCGATGTTAAGCATAACAACAAAATTTTTTAAAAAATAATAGTCGTCACTATTGTATTGTTAAAAATTATTTTTAAATTATTTTGTTGCTCACAAAACAAACAACCACTCATAATTAGAAAATTAAGTCTCGTTTAAATACTGGCCTTCCTTTCATGGTCGAGCTGGTGTTGCCAGCTAAAACACACAAAAATTTAACAAAGATAATATTAAAGTAGCCAAGACATACCCAAATATTGTAGCGCCACTTCACTAGCAGACATTTGAAATTTGCTGCCTAGAACGGTTGGTTAACCGATGTGACGGTTAATCAGGGGTCAGATAATCGATGCTCTACTGTAGTATATTTACTGCAGAGTATAATGTACTCTTTAGTAAAATCTTGTTTTCAGATTCTTCTTTCTTTGGCTGAGTAGCAAATATTTATGCATTAATTTGCACTTTTATATTTTAATCAGCCACCCTTATTTTAATTATAAACATTTTTTTAGAATGTATTGTTAATCTTTAGGAGATATCTTGAGAGGAAAAGAAATGAATATTTTAACATTTCAATCTGATTATTTATTTACCAAATATCTGCACAGATAAGACAATAGTTCAATCATAAAAAAAGATCCCCAAAATCCGGAGTCATCTTATAGAACAGATATGGGGGGGGAAATATATTGAAATTTATATAAATTAAAACCATTATAAAAAACTGACAAACCGTAATTACCCTACTCTCTACCAGTAAATATGTCCACAAAATAGAATAGTCCATACGACGTTTTTGTGAATGGTCGAGATCATTATCTGAATGCCCAAATCAGTGTGAATGTTTGCAACAATCACAAGGCAGTACTGCCATATGAAAGATAATAAAATTTGTTCATTCGAAAAATTACGAATAGGACATAATTCCGTGTACATTATGATCGCTGATCTAAACTAAATTCATAGGCCATTGATAGTTTGGGGTCATCTTATAGGACAGATATATGCCAAAACTATAAAACTTTGATGAAAATTTATACCTCATCTTATCTGAAAGTTGTCTTATCTGTGCAGATATACAGTAATTAACAAAAAATTTCTAAAAGTAAAAAACAAAAAATTTATTTTAATATTTCACTGGTTGATTTTTTTAATGAAAGAATTCATTAAGAAATCAACCAGTGAAATATTAAAATAAAAAAATGTTTAAAGTAAATAACCAATTTTTATATTCTCTAAAAGGAATGTTTTGACCATTTTTGAAAATTTAATTTGTCTTTTTAATTGTTTGATAAAAGAATGTCCTTTTTGTTATTTCTCAAATTTAAAATTTTTATTTTATTATTATTATTTGCTATTGCTTGCCTTTTTCAGAATAACTGTTTTCATTATCTGTAGCATAATAAAATATTTAAATATTTTATTAACAGATTTGTGTAAATTTTAAATTGAAGTTTAAAAAATTGGTTTTTTTATTTTAAATATAATTTAAAATTAGTAGATATTAAATTATCTATATTAAAATAAATTTTAGCAAACCATAGACTAGTTTTTATGAATGCTGGCTTTAAGGAATGTCGAACTTACCGATATTGGGATGCAAAAACTAGAAGTTTAGATTTTGATGGAATGATTGAAGATATGAAGGTTAGTAAGTGTTCTGAAATATATTATAGTTTTATATTAAATAAAACTATTATAATAGTCTTTGGAAAAAAACTGTTAATAATATTTCATCATTTATTTCATTTAATTTATTAATTTAATATTCTTACATTTTAAAAAATGTTTTTAATGATATAATACAACGTCACTTCATGCCAATGTTTATTATATGATTATAACACTTACATGTTGTGGCGGTACAGGAGTGGAGTCTTGGAGAATGAAGTTTACAAAGTCTGCAAACTTTACATTCGACAAATTCACAAACTTTACATGACATCGACTTTACAAAGTTTGCAGACTTTGTAAAGTTGATGTCATTTCTTTATTTCTGTTTGTTCTGCATTTCGAGGCTGTCATACTGGCAAATACTCTATTCCTCAATTCTAGTCACCCAATATCACATGTTGTACACTTGTGAGAAGCTCTTTTTCTTGTCACTCATAATAATTATTTCCAATTTAATGGAAAAATATATAAACAAATGCAAGGTGTACCAATGGGTTCCCCACTATCTCCTGTTTTAGCTGAACTGATTATGAGGAATATAGAACATCGAGTTTTTAATGCCCCCTTAACTATCCAATATCCTCTCATGTATAATATACGTTACGTCGATGATGTGTTAATTGTGTGGGACGGCTCCNCAAGGTGTACCAATGGGTTCCCCACTATCTCCTGTTTTAGCTGAACTGATTATGAGGAATATAGAACATCGAGTTTTTAATGCCCCCTTAACTATCCAATATCCTCTCATGTATAATATACGTTACGTCGATGATGTGTTAATTGTGTGGGACGGCTCCAATGAGAGTTTACAACAATTCATGCAAATGTTAACCTCCATTTATCATTCAATTAATTTTACCATTGAAGAGCAAAAAAAAAACAATAGAATCTCCTTCCTGGATCTAGACATATGTATGTCTTCCGAGCTTACATTCACTGTACATAATAGAAATAATAAAGCACAGCAAATCATACCTGCTACTGCTTACCAGCCATCACACTACAAAAATTCTGCTATTTCTTCTCTAATATCTTCTTCCTTCTACCCAGTCACAAGTGGAAGATGAGTTATCTATCATTTATAATGCCATGTTAAATGCTGGTTATTCATGCTCTAAATTTACATTTCTTCAAAATCGTGTTAAGAATAAATTATTTTCGAAATCTTTTCTTTCTAATAAGGAATACCTAAGAATAGCACACCCCCAAGACCCTATTTAGGTCGCATTTCTTTGAAAATTGCACATATGTTTAGAACTAACAGTTTTGTTCTACCAATAACACCGCCACCAAGTCTAAGAAGACTACTGTGTAATGATAGGGACAGATATCGGTGGAATGAAAAATCGGGAATCTTCCAAGTCCTACTAAAACATGCATTGTCAGGTGAAGAAATCAGTTATGTAAGGGGACAGTCATGTTCGTGTATTCTTGAACATCAAGAAGACATCAAAAATGGCAGGCCAGTTACAGAGTTAGCAAAGAAAGTGCTTGACCGCAATTACCATCAGCTCTGGAGCAAAGCAAAATTACTGAAATGCTGCAACGAATATAAAGAGCTATTTGTTTGAGAGAGTCACTATATTTATGCCACTGAACCGTGCAACTCCCCCAACTCTTGAATTACCAGAAATTTGGGTAACAGCTTTTAAACAACTCAATTCACGATGTTGAAAGTCTTTGCTACTCAGATGTCTTTTTGACATATCTTATACTTTATGCATGTTCTGGGCTTTTTTATGGCCTTATTCTTCCTAAAACATGCTTATTTAAAACTGTTTTCCTTCCATGCGCTATGATGCACAAAAGGATTTTTAAATAACATTCAAAAACGAAAAATCAGTTAAACCATCAGAAATATTGGTTCGATAATTTCAAAAATCCGAAATTTGTGAAACCGTCTGATTATAGTTCGAAAATCTTAATCTGTTGTATTCGATAGACCGCCTGAAGACAGTAGTTATATACTACTGAAAGTACTAGCAGATGAGCTCATTTTCTAAAGTCAGACGAGTTCATTCTCCATGACTCCACTCCTGTAACGCCACAACATGTAAGTGTTATAATCATATGAAATGTTTTTAAATTAGCATCATCCAGTAATTACAAAGACAAGTAAGAATTCTTTGTAATTGCTTCTACCAATCCTAAGCATGTAGTAAACAATTGGGTTACATAGTCTGTTAGATAAATATTAATCAAATGTGTAAAAATAGGATGTATACAAAATATGACTACTAAAATGTTTAAGCAGTTACACACTCCATAGCATATACTTCATTACAGTAATAAAAAATATTACACAATTTCCTCTCAAAAATTTTTAATGTATGGAAGGAGACAGTAGATAATGGACTAAAAGATATGCAATATTAAAAAATTTTGTTTGTAAATACTGCTCTTCTTTC